CTGGGTTTTTTTTTTATTTAACCCATAAAAGTAGACTTCTTTAAAAAAAAAAAAAGTTTTAAGTCCTGTAAACCCTTGATAAAGATTTTACCTAAGAGTTTTGATAATTAAGTAATTAGGAGTATCTAAATTATTTTTCTGTGAGAATTATAATAACAGGAAATTTTCATTTTTAACACCTTTATGACATAAATAAAAAAAGTAAAAAAAAATTAAATAATTTTTTTTTATTAATTTTGTTTAAATGATTACATTATATAAATTTAATATTCAAATAATTTTGATTTTTACTTATTCATACAATTTTTGACATCTTAGGTGGATTTACTTTTTATTTTTCCCAAGTTGTTTGATTAAGCTGTAAAAAAATTGTTCTAATGAAACATTTAAAAACAAAAATTTTTTCATGAGAAATTAGGTAAAATATCGTGTTAAAAATCTTTAGTATATAAAGTATTTTAACTCACTCTTCTACTGCTGCATTTTTAGCGTCATCCGTTGTCTTGCTCAACGCCTTTTTTAATTTATCAATCACATATTCATTATTTAGAGAATCTAAAAAAGTTTATCGACATTAATAATAATTAAATCCCTCAGGGGGTAATAGGCAATTGGTACTACCGGCGTAGCGAACCTGGGGTCCCGAGCTCCTACTGGCAGAAAGTCCCAGGTGGACGATTCCAATAGGTAATGGTGTAGGAAAAGTGGCGCTCCCATCGCCCGATGTGGAAAACACGGCAATAGCCCCTTACTGGTTCCAGTAATGTAACCAATAAAGAGGGAGGAGAAATTCTTCAAAACTTGAAGATTAATGGGGGTTGACGTAGGGCTAACCACCCAACTCATAATAACAACTTGGTTCCGAAACAAAACACAGTGAAGCCTCGGATGAAAAATAAATTGCAAAAGTTTAGTTTAGGGACATGGAATGTACGAACAATGTTCGCAGCAGGAGTAATGACGACAGTACTATCTGCACTGAAGAGATATCTATGGGAAATAGTAACCATACAAGAGATCAGATAGACGAATGTAGGGAACATCAAACTTCGTAACGCAACTATATTCTATAATTGCGGTCAAAGCCATGAATATGGCGTTGGGTTTATAGTAAACATTAACATAGTACCAATTGTAAGATACTTCATAGCTCATAGCGAAAGAATTTATCTCCTACAGTTGGAGTGTAAATGGAGAAACATTACAGTAATAAACTATCATGCTTCAACTGAGAATAAAGAGAACCAAACTAAGGAAGAGTTTTACAACCAACTAGAAAGAGTTTATGACAGTATACCTAAAAGGACCAGAAA